CTCTGCAAAGTGCATAGTCCCTATCCTGCCAGTAGATCCCTATTACTTGCAACCAAAGGGATCCTAACTCCTATTCACATAGTTGTATATTTTGAGGACCTCTTTAATGGCCTCTTTCACATCCAAAATTCCATTTTGCAAACTGCTCTGTTTATTCAAATCTTTATCCAACATTAAATGGTGAAATCACTGAGGGATGTATCTTACTTGCCTTTTTCTCTTACGGTGCCTAAAACTGTCCTCCAGGCATAAAATTCACACTCACTGTAATTTACAGAATAAATGTCAGTGTCACCAGTCATTACAACAAGAACACTTCCAAAGTTCACCACATCACACCCAGCACTAATGACAGATAAGAGACGGCTTAGTCTACCAGCTACATATTGACAACTGCCTAGGGAAAGCCTGATTTCCATTTCCACATTAATGCAGGACTGAGAATGCAGATAAACACTCTTCCACAGATAACCTTAACCCTCAAGTCAGGTTATGCAAATCCCATTTGAAACCACTTGCAAACGTTTTGTCCATTTAACTCCAAATGCCAAAATCTTTAACACATTTTGCATAGTTTCCAAAGTTCTTTTGTCTATTTATCAAATATGTTAGCGAAAATCTTATTTTAAAAATTATAGATTTTCATTGCAGCTTCTCTTTCTGTTTTCTTTTCAGCTTCTTGGCAGGAGACACACACACACACACACACACACACACAGGGGGGGATAATATAAACAGTCAAGGAAGAAAAAGAAGGAAAAAGGAGAAATAAATACATAATGGAAAAGGATGAGAAGAGACAGGAGAGAAACTAAAAACCTTATAAGTAATCTCTGTTAACTGGTATAAATTAGATTCAATTATGTCTTCTTCCTGAATTTTGCTTGGAGAAGAATAATGCTGTCATGCTATCAATGTCTCAGGGTTCTGCGGGGGATTAAATGAGATAACATATGTGAACATACCCAGCAAGGTATTGTGCATGTATCTGGTATCAGTTATTGAACTAAATGAGTACTTTGCATTCCTGTGAAGAAATATCTTCTTACATAGACCCTGGCCACCGCAAAGCCCATCTGAGAGATTCCCGCCAGTATTATTTTAGGAACGCTGCCTTCTGTGCGGGTACAGCGTTCACTCTGTCTAGATTTAGTCACATCTATGAACATGCCTAGAAAAGTTTTTATACACACAAATTTTTTACTATTTTTAGGAGAAAAGAACAAAAATAAAATAACAATAACAAAGACAAATACAAAGCAACACAAAAACTATACAAAAAGATACAGAATTTCAAATCAAGATGATAGGAAATCAACAATGGTTATTGTATTACTTATTATTATCTTCAAAGAAGTTGCTCAGATTACCAGATATAGGTATGCAATTAAACATCAACTGTTCCTTTCAATAAACCAATAGAAATTAGTAATACAATTATCTTAGCTATGTGTGTATATGTATGTATGTGTATATATATATAT